AAAAAATTTTTTTTAATCTCTTCTTGATGTTCTGAGTTTATCCACTCTTTCCTCTGGTGACTATGATCATTATTTTGAACTCTTTATAGGTAGATTGCTTATGTTTATTTCATTTAGTTCTTTTTCTGAGTTCTTTCATTTGGAGCATATTCCTCTTTATCATTTTGATTGACCTTCTGTGTTTGTTTCTATGAATTAGATGGAAGAGCTACTTCTAAACTTGAAGAAATGGTCTTGTGTATGATCATCCCCTCTGCAGATTGTAGCACCTGGTGATTTTGGCTGGCTATCTGGCTGGAGCTGTGGCTGTCCTGTAGGTTGGGGCAACCCTGGTGGGATGGTCAGAGCTGAAGTGGGCATGGGCCGGGACAGCCCAGGGCTCTTTGCACAGAAGACGCCTTGGCAGGACAGCTGAAGATTAAGTGGGTGGAAGGTGGGGCAGGGGTCTTGGGGCATCTGTGCAGGGACACCTGGCAGAGTGGCTGGAGCAGAGGCAGGTGCAGGCCAGGGTGTCCCAGGGTGCTTTGCTCAGGGGGTACCCCGGCAAATCACTTGGAGCCAAAGCAGTGCAGGCCTGGAGTGTTCTAGGGTGTTTGGCACCTGTGTCACCTTGGTGAGACATCTGGAACTGTAGTTAGTGTTGACTAGGGGTGTCCTGTGTGCATTGTACTCAATCTGCATTGGTGGGATGGGTGGGGCTGGTGTGGGTTAGGAGCCCAGGGCTTACTGAGATGGTAGGCTGGCTTGGGCAGTCACCCAGACCCTGTTCCTGTTCATGCTTATGCTATCAAGGTAGAGAAGGAATGTAAACCATGGTGCTCTCCAGCCCTTCTAATCCAAAGAGTTCCAGCAGCTCTCCCACTGTCTGACAAAGTTCTGGGACTGGATCTTGTATATTCTAGTTGGTCTTTTACACAGTTGCTTTCTCTCTCCTGTGCCCCAAGGCAGAAAAACCTGCTCACGGTCTCCCAGTACATATCCTTCCCCACTGCAGTTAGCAGCATCAGGGGGTGGGAATTTCTTTTGTTACTGTGTCTATGTCTCTCTTGCTGTTCTCTAGATGGTGTGTTTATCTTCTGTTGTGTAAAAGCTGTTCAGTCAGTCCTCAGTTCTTCAGGAGAAATTGCTCTATAGAGAGGTGTAGGTTTGGCGTGTCTATGGAGCAGGTTGATTTCTGGGTTTTCCGACATCACTGAATTGAACTCTCCCTCCTCAGATGAATACAATTTAGATCAAAAATAGCAAATACCTGGTATGCAGGCCACCATACTCCTGGCAAATTTTCTTCTCAGAAAACTTCCTTCAGTCTCTAGATTGCTGTTACTAATAGGTTAGAATTAGTGTGTGGGAAAGAATCTCTTTGCTAGTCCTGATTTTCCTACAGTGAAAGGGAAAGGAGGAAGAAACTGAACAAAGACTTTGCAGTAGGAATATTTCCATGTTTGAGGGGCAAGGAGAACAATTTGGGCTACTCTGTCAAATTCAATTTCAAAATTAGGGGGAGGTACAGTTGCCAAGACAGGTCAGATTATGGAATATCCAGAATGTCAGACTGAAGTACATGCATTTTATTCTGTATGTAATGAGTTTACGTGGTACAAAGTGTATGGGGAAGGTTATTCCACAGTAGTATGTATTTAGTAGTTTAGAGGAGAAATGGAGACCAGTACGGACTAATCCAAGTCTACTAACTTGAGATTTATAGTTTGGATTACGATGATGGCATAACCTTAACACCAGGAAGTGTTTAATAAATATTAATTAATGGAAAGAAAGAGGCAGAACATCTGTGAGAAGCCACTCAAAGGAAAATGCGAGATTAGTTTTGGGGTGTGAGAGAAGTCAAATAATGACCCAAAAGTTCTTAAACTGGCCACCAGAAAAAAAATGACTAAATAGAGTCTGGAAGGAGAAATGAGTTTTGGGGAAAAGATGATTAAGATTACAGAATTATGGTAATTGAATTAAAGAGTTAGAAATCCTCCTGAAGCGTTCTTTCTATGCCATCATTTTTTATAGGTAGGAAAACAGATTCAGATGTTTTAAGGATATAGACCCAGTTATAATAGAGTCAAGAGTAAAACCAAAATCATTTTGGTTTGTCTAATATACTAATGCTGGAGATGAACTATAACGGAAAATCCAGGTAAAAATACTCTTAATGCTCAGCAGAGGGTAAGGACTTATTTGAAATTTACCTCTTTAGAGGTGATCATTAAGTTTCTCTATTACTAGAATATAGCTCCTATTTTATAATAGGCAGTGATAAAATGGGATCAGATGTGTAAAAAAAATTCACTTTATAACCTATTTTGCTGTAGTGCTGAGGAAAGCTTGTACCTGTGAAGCTGAGCTTCCTTTAGTGCTAATACTTAGACAATTATAAAATTTTGATGAAGTCCTAAAAAGTTATAATAGGATAAATTGGCCAAAGTATAAAAATTTTTACTGAACTATCTCAATTTTTGTAATAATGCGTTTAATGAGAGGAAAAAACCTTTACTGACACTTTAGAACATTTGCACATATATAAAATAAGGCTAATATTTGGCTAAGGCAATAAATATTTTAAATAGTCTCATCCTTGTGGAAGACTGGCTCACCAAAATGCATCACTCAAGTTTTATAAGACCATTTAAGTGATTTGTTCAACATTTTGAGTTGATTTATTCCTGTAGCCATAAACCACTATTCTTTAATTGTAATGTTAGATTAAACATCATGTAATGTAATTGTATATCAGGGGGTTAAACTCCCGACACAGGAGAGTCAACTTGTGCCAAGAGATGACCTATTTAGCCTGCACGATATTTTAAAAAAACATTATTTGAATTCTTTTAGCGCGCTTTCTTTACTGCCTAGTTGCTTGGAGGCCCCACTACACCCTACTGTCATTACACCTATGTTTAAAACTCCTTTTCTACACAGCGCCCTGTTCCTGGTTGTTGTATCTGTCCAAATATATATCTAGCTCAGTCATCTTAGAACTGTTATATTTCTATAAGTGTCAAACCGTATGTTCATATATGTAAAGAGGTCTTTTTTCTTGGATAGTATGAGGCAAGAAAATATATAATCAAAAAAACGGACATAATAAGCATATTTGATCATGTTACATAAAAAGGCATGTGTTTTTCCGCAGGTAACCTTTGATGTAACTTGGTCTCCAAAGTGCAAAGACAGGTGCTATAATTATGCTGGAATTGCAGATGCTTGTGACTTTCTCTTTGTGATGTCTTATGATGAACAAAGTCAGGTCTTGTCAGAATGTATTGCAGCAGCCAATGCTCCCTATAAGGAGACATTAACTGGTAAGAATCCACAAATGATCACTTAAACAATAAGATTATTTTAGTATTTCTAAGTCATTTGTATACCTTTTCCATTTATAAAGCTTCCTTGAAACATGAATATCACTTAATTTGGAGAGCTTTCAAGTTTACACGTTCTAAAGTTTTCACTTAATTCTTCTAAAAATCTTGTGGGATAGGTGTATTATTAATCCTCTATTATAGATCAGATGATGAGTGTTAAGTTCTCATTGCACTGCTTATATTAAGGTATTATTTAGTTGGGACTCAAGCAGCTGACTATTAACTTCAACACTCTTGTCCCAAAATTACATGAAGGAGATACTTGTTTTTCTAGAATTTGACAGGATATTTTTGCTGAAATAATCGTTAAATAATTTAATAGCTAAGATAGTTATAATGTGAGTACCTACTATGCATGATTGATAGAGGACTGTCTTACTTGGCATTTATTATTAGTGCCCATGCTATATTAAAAATGATGTCACTTCTGTCATTCATATGATGTGGGCTTTGCATTAGCCTTTCTGAAGTTTGGTTTGTATCCCATCAGCCAACTGAATAAACAATTGCTTGCTATCTTTTGGACTCAAGTGAAATTTTCTGGGATAATTGGCCCTGATTTAAGTGTTGATTAATAAATAAAAACCTTTTAATTTAGAGATAGTCTTAAAGTCTTAAAACCTAGCCTTATCACATCCAAGTTAACAGTCTGATCATATGCATATGCTATTTCAAAATAAAAAAAATAATTGTTACAGTTACAAAGCAATTATTTAATCCAGTGTTCCCAAACTGTATTTCATAAAGGAGATGATAACTGTGTTCTATCAATAAAAGGCTCATTATCAAGGATGTTTGAG